CCGCGGCCCGCGCTCCGGTTCGCCGAGGCCGCGCTCGGCGCCGCGGCCGCGGCCGCGCGCGCCGCGTGGCCCCGCGGCGCGGAGCCATTCGACGTCGGCGCCGTCGTCGCGACGGTGTCGCGGCCCGACGCCGGCGGCGGCGCGCCCCTGTCGCCCCGCGACGCCGCGGCCCTCGCGCGGGGCCTCGACGCGGCCGAGGACGTCGCGGACGGGCTCCGCGCGGAGCTCCGAAGCGCCGCGCGCTGGAGCCCCGCGGACCGCGCGCTCGAGGCGCTCCTCGGCGCGCTCCTCCGGGGCCTCGGCCTCGCGCCGCCGCCGCGGGCCGACGGCGCCGCGCGCGCCGCGTTCCTCGCGACGCGCGCCGCCTCGCTCTGGCACCCCGCGGGCGGCGCGGCGCGCGGCGCCGCGCTCGACGCGGAGACGCTCGAGGTCCGCGGCGCGCCGCGCCTCTACGTCGCCGGCGCGGCCGCCATGCCGGAGCTGCCGAGCGTCAACCCCATGCTCACGTGCTACGCGATGGGCTGGCGCCTCGGCGAGCTCCTCGCCGCGAGGCACGACTCTTCCACGAGGCCTTCCATGGAAGTTTCCATGGCCACGAGACGCGCGAACGTTGTACGGTAACATTAGCTTTTTCACACTAGCGCCGAAGTGCGCTGGGACGATGGGCGGGTCCGGGAGCAAGACCGTGCTCAACGAGCTGCACGGGCTGCAGGAGCGCCTCATCGACGGCCTGGCGGCGCCCGAGCTCGCCGATCAACGCGCCGAGAACGCGCGGCTCCGCGCGCTCCTCGGCGACGCCGTGCGCGTGATCGGGCAGCTCCGCGGCGTCGACGGCGACGACGCGGCGGCCGGGGACGCGGAGGCGAAGGAGGCGGCGGCGGCGGCGCCGCGGCCGTTCCGCGCCGCGGAGCTCGACGACGCCGTCGCCGTCCGGTCGCGCGCGGCCGTCGACGACCTCGCGCCGGTGGACGCGGACGCGGTCATCCGCCGCGGCGTCCCCTGGTCCGATCCGGACTTCCCCGCGGCCAACGTGCCGTCGCTCGGCGACGCGGCGACGGTCGCCGCGAAGCGCTGGGGCGACGTCGCGTGGGTCCGCGCGCGCGCGCTCGCGCCGCGCGGGCGCATCTTCGTGCAGAACCCGTCGCCCTACGACGTCGCGCAGGGCGGCCTCGGCGACTGCTACCTGCTCTCGGCGCTCTGCGTCCTCGCGGAGCGGCCGGGCCGCGTGCACCGCCTCTTCCGGACGACGGAGGTGAACGCCGCGGGCATCTACGGCGCGCGCCTCTACCTCCACGGCGAGAAGCGGCTCGTGCTCGTCGACGACGCGCTCCCCGCGCGGGACGGCCGGCCGCTCTTCGCGGCGTCGCGGACCGACGGCGAGCTCTGGGTGTCACTCTACGAGAAGGCCTTCGCCAAGGTCTACGGGTCCTACGCGGCGATCGAAGCCGGGTCGACGGCGGCCGTGCTCGAGACGCTCACGGGCGCGCCGTCGACGCGGACGCGGCTCCGGGCCGGCGTCGCCGACGCGGCCGCGGCCGCGGACCGGCTCTGGGAATTGGCGTCGGCCGCGGCCGCGCGGGGCCACGTCGCCGCGCTCAGCGTCGGCGACCACCCGCAGGACCTCCAGAAGCTCGTGGGCATCGTCGAGGAGCACGCCTACGCGGTCCTGGGCGCCCGGCAGGAGCGCGGCGGCGCGCGGCTCCTCAAGCTGCGGAACCCCTGGGCGAACGGCGTCGAGTGGCGCGGCGCGTGGAGCGACGGGAGCGACGAGTGGAGCGACGACCTCCGGCGGACGCTCGGCCACGACGTCGCCGCGGACGGCGTCTTCTTCATGAGCGTCGAGGACGTCGCGAACGTCTTCGACGAGGTCGCCGTCTGCGCCGTCGACGACCACGCGCAGTACTCCCACTCGCCGCGGCTCGCCTTCGCGGCCGGCGGCGCGCGCGCGGCGGCGCTCAAGGTCCGGCCGAGCCGGTCGGGAAGCTTCGCCGTGTCGATCCGCCAGCCCGACGTCCGCGCGGGCGCCGTCCGCGCGGACTCGTACCGCGCCGTGCGCTTCCGCGCGATCCGCCTCGCGGCCGGCGCGGGCATGCCCGCGCACCTCGGCACGTCCGGCGACGCGTTCGAGGGGGCGCGCGACTGCCGCGCGGCGTGGGCCCTCGAGGGCGGCGCGACGTACCTCGTCGTCGTCGAGACCTACGACGCCGCGGCCAAGGGCGACGGCCCGCTCGACGGCACCTTCGTCTGCAGCACCTACGGCCCGGCGCGGTGCGCGTGCACGCCGCTCGCGCCGCGCGCCGCCGAGCTCGCGCTCGCCGACGCGTTTGCCGCCTTCGCGCGGCTCTCGCCCGAGGCCGAGGCGGCGGACTACGCCGCGTGGGACGGGGGCGCGGGCGTGACGCTCCGGACGTGGTCGCGCGACGGCGAGTCCGCGCTCGCGCTGCTCTGGACCAACGCGACGGCGCCGCCCGCCGCGCGCGTGCTCGAGGAGACGGTCACCTTCGACCTCGAGGGCGCGGACGTGGCGCGCGCGACCCTCGACGCCGACGGCCGCGTCGTCGCCCTCGCCGTCGTCGACCCCGTCGTCAAGGTCGCGCTCCCGCCGGGGACGTCGTCGCTCCTCCTCGTCCGCAAGCTCCCCGCGGCCAAGGCCTACTCCGTCTCCTACCGCCGCTCCGCGCGCCTCCGGGCCGCGCGCGGCTAAGGGCGGCTCGACTACATGCCCCAGCCGTCGTCCCCCGACAGCTGGGCCGCGGCCGCGGCGAGCGCGTCGTCGTCCCCGGCGCGCGGCGACGTCGCCGCGGCGAGCCCGGCGGCGGCGGCCGCGAGGCCGTCGTCGTCGTCGGCACGCTTCGGCGGCGACCCGGCCTCGACGGCGAGCGCGGCGGCGGCGGCGGCGAGGCCGTCGTCGTCGGCCCGCTTCGGCGGCGACCCGGCCTCGACGGCGAGCGCGGCGGCGGCGGCGGCGAGGCCGTCGTCGTCGGCCCGCTTCGGCGGCGACCCCGCCGCGAGCGCGGCGGCCGCGCGCGCGATAGCGTCGCCGTCGGCCGCGGGCGGCGCCGCCTCGGCGCGGCGCCGCCGCGGCGTCAGGACGCACGTCACCGGGCCGCGCGAGTTGAGATTGCCGGTGACATGCCAGCGGCGACCCGCTGCGCCGCGCAGCTCGGCTCGACTGCTTCGCCGCCGGCCGGAAGCCACGGGATGGAGCGCCTTGGGATGCCAGGGGTCGCCCTTGCGCACGTACGTCGGGCCGACGTGGCTCATGGGGTACGCCGGGCCGAACATGCTCGGGCAGCGTCGAACCGTCCGCAGGTATGCAACTTGCAGTACTTCTTGCGTGCACCTTCGTGCAAACTCGCCCGGGCCCTGGAGGGCTCCCGCAGGGG